TCATTAAATAACAGCAATGCCAATAAAAACAACAGTAGCAGTTACACAGTATCTACTCTGCCAGATCTTTTCCTTAGTACTTTTCGTGTATTAATTCTCTTACTCTTATTACCAGGCTGTGTAGCTGGTACTAATAACACTGCCATTTTACAGATGATGAAACAGAGGCACAGAGAGGGTAAGGAACTTGTCCAAGGGTAACCATCTAAAAAGGAGTGAGGTTAGGAAATGAGCACAGAAAACTGATTAGAACTTAGTTCCTATGACTTTTCCTTGGGTAAAATGGGTTAGAGCTCTCAGCACCCTGGTTGCCCACCCTCTGAACAATCATTGGTTGGTGAATATCTATTGATCTCAAAATGTCCCAGCCAGGAATGAATCCACATGTGATCTGAGAGTTCAGAACCGACTCAGGAAGGGTGGACTCTGTCCTAAGGGGGTTACAGGGAGGTGCTGCTTGCAAAGCACCTGCCTTGAACACACTGGTTACAGGCTGAGCTCAGAGCAGCCATGAGGGGAAGTACTCCACTGGGTTGGTGTGTGCACAGCCCCCGGGGGACAGGAGGCACTGAGATGTAGAGGAGAATGGGGCTGGGGGAGGGGCAGAGCAAGGGAAGTCCAGGCTTCTAGATGGTCCCTGGAGGAAGGAAGGAGCCGGCCGGGTCCCCAGATGCACACTGGAAGGGAAGGAAGCTGATGAGTTTCTGGTGCCCATTCTGCCTTGTACTTCCAGGATGCTCTACTGGGGTCCCTGGGTGGGTGGGATGGGGACCTGGGATGCATGGGCTCTTCTGTGAGAGGCAGCCTCTCTGGGGACAGAGGGAGGATGTGGAAGAGAGTAGGGGTATCAGCGTCCATATCTCCCAGCGTCCCTGCCCCTGCCAGTCTGTCCCCAACAGAGAAGAAGGGCTGGAGGGGAGACAGCCAGGGGAGATGGGAGAGGAGATTTTTGCTGACCGATCTCAAGTGCTTCCGAGCCTGGAGAGGGAAGAAGTGGAGAAGCAGGGGCCATGAAATCGGACAGGCTTGGGTTCAAATGTTGACTCCAGGACTTCCTGGCTGAGTGGCCTTGGGGCAAGTTGCTGGTTGGTGGGCCTCAGTTTCCTCAACTGTCAAATGGAGACAGTAATGCCTGCCTGATTAAACTGTGCAATGGTTCACCCACCCTCAAATGTAGGGATGTCTGCCAGAGTGCATGGGAGTGAGTGTCGTGATTGTGACCGGGGTAGGGGGTCAAGGTTAGCAGGGCTGGACTGTCTGGCAGCATTCTTCATCCCTCTCCAGCCCTGGTCTTCTCTTGCCAGACCCCCCCTGCTTGCAGGGCAAGATCTGAGCCATCGGCAGGTCTTCCGCAGTGGTCAGGTCTCTTAGATGTAGGTGTCGACTGCAAGGGAGGGAGAGATTTCTTTACTGAAGGGGTGATGTGGGACTACTTCTTCCCGCCCTAAGCCAAAAAAGAGGAGAGAGGTCGACTGAGGGAGTGAGGGTGCTCTATATGGAGCCTGGCTTCTTCTGGAGGACTTGTCACAGGGTGGAGGATGGGGGGCTCATCAGAGGAAATAACTTCAGCCAAGTTGGGGGACCTGGATTCTTCCTACATGACATGAGAAAGACAGTTCTGTTTCCTGGGTTTCAGGCTCCTTTCTGTGTCTTCCTGATATTCAGTGACATCTTTGTGTCTCTGAATTAATTTATGTCGTTTAATCTTCTGAGAGCTTCATGAGGTAGGCAGATCTAGAGCTATGCCCATTTTACAGATGAGTAAACTAAGGCTTATATTCAGAAAGGCTGGATTACTTACCGACATTACACAGCTGGAAAGTGTGCGGCTGGAGCACCAGGACACACATCTAGGTGCCTCTGGCTCAGTTCTCTTTCTGGGGTACTACATTGGCCACCTAGAATAGCCAGAGGGAGCAGGGACAGAATGGGGGGCAGTGTGATGGCCAGAGTATTTCCTGACCCATTTGCTGGCCAGGTGACCCTTGAACAAATGCTTCAGATTTTTCGCCTGTAAAAGGGAATGACCACAGTATTGACTACCAGTGGCTAGTAGTATGTGGAGTTACACTGGAGATTAAATTAAATAACAGACATTCTGATACCACAGTGCCTGGCTATAGTAAGTGCTCAAGAAATACTAGTTATTACTGCCATTCTTTTAATGACCAATAACAAACGAATCTTTCAGAATTTCAAACACACACCTTCGACCTGAGCTACATTTTCTCCTGTAGCGAGAGGATGCGGGGCAGCTGGCTAGCCTTTTATGAGAGAGAGAACGGAGGAGGACGGTGAGGATGTGGACTAAGCAGTGGTTAATGCAGCAGCACGTTAGGACCCCCTGGGGCTCTTGTGAAAATAGCTTTGTTTGGGCCCCACTCAGTCCTCTCAAACCGGACTCTCTGGTGAGTGAAGCTCTGCACTGAAATTCAACTTATTATTTAGTTGAGGCAAATTTATGTACAGTAAAATGCACAAATCTTAGGTGCTCCTTGAGCTGGGCAATCAAGGTATTGAACATTCCCAGTAGCAGGTGTCCCTTTGTAGTCAGTTCCTCTCCCTCTCCCGTTACCCTTTTCTGACTTCTGTCACCATCAATTAGTGCTTTTCCTGTTCTTAGACTTCATATAAATGGAATCATACAACATGAGTTTTCTTGTATGTGTGTCTGGCTTACTGTGCTTAACTTAATGTTTCTGAAATTCTTTTTCTTTTTTGTCTGTATGAGCCCCTTTTGATCGCTGAGCAGTATTGATAGACATTTGGGTTGTTTCAAGCTTTTTTGACAAATATGAATAGGCTGCTATGAATATTCTTGTACAAGTGTTTATGTTTCCATGGCTCCTGGGTAAACAGGTAGGAGTGGAATTGCGTCAAATATCCAGAAGGGTCTTAAAGTAGATGTATATTTAACTTTGTAAGAAACCGCCAGTGGTCCTCCAAATCAGTTGTTTCATTCTAGACTCCCATCAGCAGCAATTCTAGTTGCTCCACACGCTTATCAGTATTTGATGTTGTCAGTCTCTTGGTTTTAGCCTAATAGATGTTTAATGGTACGTCATTATGTTTTTAATTTGCATTTATCTGAGGACTAATTATGTTGAGTAACTTTTTATGTGTTTAATGACCATTTGTATAGTTTTTGGGCTCATTTTAAAAACAATTTGTCTTTTTCTTGTTGACTTGTAAGAAGTTTTTATATTTCAGGATTTCTTCCTTATTTTTTATTCCAAAAGATTTTGCCTAGCCCAAGATCTTGAAGGTATCTTCTATGTTTGCTTCTATAGTCTTTATGTTGTGAGTTTTTGTGTATGGACTAAGGTAGTGGTTGCTGTTCTGTTTTGTTTTGTTTTTCATACAGTATCCAGTTGTTCCAAAACCATCTGTTTTTAAAAAATTATTTGCCCCATTGAATTGAATTGCTTTGGTCAAAAATCAGTTGATCATATATGTGCAAGTTTATTTCTGGACTCTGTTCTGTTGCTCTGCTGTCTGTCCTTACATAAGTACTACACCGTTTTGATTACTGTGGCTTTCTGGTCTTAATGTCAGGTAGAGTCAGCCCTCCAACTTTGCTCCTCATTTCCAAAATTGATTTGTTTTAGCGTGATTTTCATTGTACAGGTCTTGAACATCTTTCATTAGATTTATCCCCAGGATTTGATATTGTTTATGCTATTTAATATGTTGTTTTTGTGATTTCATTTTCTAATTTTTGTTGCTAGCATGTAGAAATACAATTAATTTTTGTATATTGGTTTTGTGTCCTACAATCCTGTTTATTAGTTCTGGGTGTTTGTTTTGTTTGGGTAGATTCTATCCCTAAGGCCCTGCTACTCCGGACTTTCAGGATGGTAATAGGCCCTGTGTTGAGAAGAAGGAATTGAACGATTTTTACTGGACAGTGTTGAACTTGTGGTGCTTGGGCCCCCACCTGAAACTCATTAAAACTGAGTCTTCGGTGTATGTGTGTGTAGGGGTGGGTGGGAGGTGTGGCATCGGCATTTTTAAAGTTCCTTGGAAGATTTTAGAAGTGCAGATCTAGAAAGCGTCAGATGGCAAGCGGGCCCAAAGGCCACCCTCGCCTGAGGGGATGGGGCGGGATGGCCGGCACGCCGCGGGCCCGTGGGAGTGTCTGGGCGGGTGGGAACGAGCGGACAAGTTCCGGGTTCCCCTCCAGGGCCGGGCGACTGGGAGGAGCGCGCCTCACACACAGGCGCCTCCGCCTCTCCCTTATGATAAAGACAGTAATAAATGCGGTCACCGCCGGAGCTCACTGTCGCCTGCAATTACCTGGCGGACACACCTGTCTACACTCCCGCTCTCCCCCCAACATAGCCCGAGAGACCCCAGAGCTATTCCCCGCAGGTTTCTCCGGGATGCACCGACCTCACTGGTTACAGACGAGGAGACTGAGGCCCAGAGGGGGCCAGGGACCTGCGTGAGGCCGCCCCCTAATCTGACCCTTTGCCATCGGCCCTCCCAGGTACACGGAGATTAAAGAGGAACTGGAGGAGCTGGACCGCATCACAGAGCAGACGCTCTTCGACCTGTACAAGTACAACTCCTCCAACACCCTCGTGGCCCGCGCCCGCGGCCGCCGCGACCTGCGCGAGGCCCTGCCGCACCCACTGCAGCGCCTGCCGGT